ATGAACATGGTGATGAACATGATGATGATGAGGAACATGATGATGAAAATGATGATGAACATGCTGATGATCATGAACGATGAACATGATGATGAAAATGATGATGGATATACGTGTCACGTGTGCCGTTAGACTCGGCTGAAAATGCAGAGGATGCGTTGTCATGATAACTACTGCTGATGCCATGCTGGTGATAATGAGGATGCGTAGTGATGATTATCATCAGGATGATGAACATGATGATGAAAATGATGATGGATGATGATCATGATGAACATGATGATGAAAGTGATGATGGTGGTGTTCTTCATCATGTTCATGTTCATCATCATCATCATTTTCATCATCATCGCCATCATCATTTTCATCATCATGTTCGTCATCATCATTATAATTTGCATTATCATGTTCCTCATCATGTTCATCATCGCCCTTCTTTTTCAAATACGTTTCAAGTGTGCCGTTAGACCCGACTGGAAATGCAGAGGATGCGTTGTGTTGATGTCGGATGCGTAGTCATCAGGATGATGATGATAATGATGAACATGATGAGGAACATGATGATGAAAATGATGATGATGATGATGAACATGAGGATGAAAATGATGATGATCATGATGATGAACATGATGATGAACATCATGATGAAAACGATGATAGTGATGATCCTGAAGATTCCTGCTCATGTTCATCCTTGTGTTCATCATCATCATCATCATTTTCATCATCATCGTCATCATCATCATCCTGATGATAATCATCACTCAGCACCAGCAGTTACCGTCATCATAAACATCCCCAGCATCAGCAGCAGCTATCATGACAACGCATCCTCTGCATTGCCAGTCGGGTCTAACGGCGCTTGAAACGTATATGAAAAAAGAAGAGCGCCACAGGTTTTGATGATAAACATGATGAGGCAAAAATGATGATGATGGTGATCATGAACACAATGACGATCAACATGATGATGAAGATGATCATGATGACGAACATGATGATGAAAATGATGAATATGATGAACATCAATGATGATGAACAACACCATCATTACTTTCATCATCATAATCATCATGCTCGTCATCAATCGTCATCATCATTATTTTCATCATCATGTTCATCGTGATGTTCATCATCATCCTTATTTTCATCATCATTTTCATGTTTGTCATCATCATCATCCTGATGATCATCATCACTACGCATCCTCAGCATCACCAGCAGTTGTCATGACAATCATGACACCGCATCCTCTGCATTTCCAGTCGGGTCTAACGGCACACTTGAAAAAAGAAGAGTGCCGCGGTATGATGAACATGATGAGGAACATGATGATGCAAATGACGATGATGATCATGATGATGAACACAATGATGATGAACATGAGAATGATGAAGATGATGATTTTGATGATGAACATGATGATGAAAATGATGATGATGACGATGAACATGATGATGGTAATGAACATCATCATGTTCATCATCATCATCATTTTCATCATCATGTTCCTCATCATGCTCATCATCATCCTGATGATATTCATGACTACGCATCCTCAGCATCATTAGCAGTTATCATGACAATCATGACAACGCATCCTCTGCATTTGCAGTCGGGTCTAACGGCACACCTGAAACGTATATGAAAAAGAAGAGCGCCACGGTTTGGAGGATGAACGTGATGAGGAACATGATGATGATGAACATGAAAACGATGATCATCATCAAGCATCATCATCATCATTTTCATCATGATAATCATCACTACGCATCCTCAGCATCACCAGCAGTTATCATGACAATCATGACAACGCATCCTCTGCATTTCCATCCAGGTCTACTTGAAACGTATATGAAAAAGAAGAGCAATGAAAACAGAAAAGCGATAATGAACAGGATGAGGAACATAAATGTTGATGGTGAACATGATGATGATGATGAACATGATGATTAAAATGCTGATGATGATGACAATGATGATGATGATGACGAACGTGATGATGACCGTGATGATGAAATGACGTCATCATCAGAATCATTTTCATGTTCATGTTCATCATCATGTTCATCATCATCATCATTCTCAGCATCCTGATGATAATCATCACTACGCATCCTCCGCATCACCAGCAGTTAACGTCATCACTATGCATCCCACAGCAACGCGCCCTCCGCATTTCCAGTCGGGTCTAGCGGCGCACTTGAAACGCATATAAAAAAGAAGGGCGCCACGGTTTTGATGAGGGTCATGATGATGCAAATGATGATGATGATGAACACAATGATGATGAACATGATAGTGAGGAAGATGATGATGATCATGATCATCATGATGAAAATGATGATGATGATAGTGAACACCACCATCATCACTTTCATCATCATAATCATCAGGATCATCATCATCATCATCATCATCATTTCCATCATCATGTTCATCATGTTCATCACCATGTTCCACATCATGCTCATCACCATCATCATCATCGTCATCCTGCTGATAGTCATCACTACGCATCCTCAGCATCACCAGCAGTTCTCATGACCATCAACACAACGCATCCTTTGCATGTCCAGTCGGGTCTAACGGCACACTTCAAACGTATTTGAAAAAAGAAGAGCGCCACGGTTTTGATGATAAACATGATGAGACAAATGATGATGATGATGAACATGATGATGAAAGTGATGATGACGATGATGATGATGAAAATGATGATGATGAACATGAACATGATGAAGAAGAACACCGCCATCATCACTTTCATCATCATATTCATCATGATCCTCGCCCATCCTCATTTTCATCATCATGTTCATCATCCTGATGATAATCATCACTGCGCATCCTCATTATCACCAACATTTAACGTTAGCACTCTGCATCCCCAGCATCAGCAGTTCTCATGACAATTGAGCAGCGATCAAAAATGCTCAAAGCAATTTAAGTAAGGGAGCGCTGAATCTCTTGCTCCCCAGGCCCAACAATTGTTTCTTCGGGCAAGCAAAATCGTTTCTGCCCCCCGGCCACAAAACCAAACGATTTTCACTGGCTTGTTTTGGCCGTCACCCCGCAACCTCTCCGGGCAAGTCAGAGTGGTTTACCAAGTCACCACGTGGGCTTCTTCTGCAATGCCCGGTTGGGCCGACATGTACTTGTCAGTTGAAGCGAAATGGTTTTTGCGCCCAGGGAGCTAAAACGATTTGTTCGGGCCGAACAAATCGTTTTAGCTCCCGGGCACTAAAACGATTTGTTCGGGGCACTGAAACGATTTGTTCGGGCCGAGCAAATCGTTTTAGCTCCCCGGGGGCACTAACCCGGGCACTAAAACGAGCTCCCCGGGCACTAAAACGATTTGTTCGGGCCGAACAAATGGTTTTAGCTCCCGGGCACTTCGTTGTAGCTCCCCGGGCGCTAAAACGATTTGTTCTGGCCGAACAAATCGTTTTAGCTCCCCGGGCACTAAAGGCCCGAACAAATCGTTTTAGCTTCCGGGCACTAAAACGATTTGTTCGGCCGAAAAAATCGCTTTTAGGGCCGAACAAATCGTTTTTAGGCCCAGGCCTAAAATGCGTGGAGATTGATGCGGGGCTCAATTCGCGGAACGCTGGAGGAAGGGCGCGGAAGGACGGCGGAAGGGTTCCGTGATTTGGATGCCTTGTGTGTGATGTGTTGTTCTCGCTAGCCGCGGTGTGTCGTGAGGCTTCACGCTTGCGGTTGCAAATCTATTAGGATTCGCGTTTCAGCGTCGTTATGAGTATGGGACCCATAAACCATTTGCTACAGCTGTCTGGGCTCCACTGAGCTCCCGGACCTCCCAGGATACGAGGCAACAGTTGGAGGTTCAAGCCCCGTCAAGCTGCAGCCTCTCAGGGACAGCAAAAACAATTTGCCAGGCCCCCGTGAATCAATATTGCTGCAGTGATCCTGTTGGCAACGCTTTTCACGAACGCAACGGGTGGTGGATGACAAACTCAATATCTAGTTGTGTTGGCTTGGCAAGAAAGAGACGCAAGCCGCGGAAGGGGCGGAAGGGAAATGAGAGCGCGGAAGCAAACACCCGCAGCGCGGAAGCGCGCGGAAGCACGCGGAAGCGCCAAATGATATCATCGCAATTTGGCCTATTGATTTTGATCACCGCTCAATTATCACGACGCACCATGTCCAGTCAGGTCTAACGGCACACTTGAAACATATATGAAAAAAGAAGCGCCACGGTAATGATGATGATCCGGATGCTGTGAACCATCACCCAACATCAGTGGTGATGATAATCATCACTAAAACAAGGACAAAGACAAACCCGTTCCCATGCGCCTCCCCTTTGGAGAAAGGGGGTCGGCGGATTTTGCTCTTTTTGTAAGGCTGTATTTCTTTATTTACCTCTGAAAACGAGCCTTGTGGCCAAGGACAAGAAGTGGGAGTTCGTGCGCTTCGTCCTGGCGCCCAGCCGTATTGGCCCCCGAAGGGAGGTGGTTTTGTGAGCCTCGAGACGAGACCTTGGCCAGCGTCGTTCACTGGCGTATCTAACCGCTGTTCGTTCCACTGTTTTTTCTCAAAGCCATTTGCAGGAGTCCTGCACCCGGCTTGGCTGGGTTTGGGCCATGCCATGTTTTGTGACTATGGGGCTGTGGTTGCGAGGCTTGAGCACTGAAGGCCTTCCCCAGGAAATACTGTAGCATCCTAGACAACGGAACCCTCGTTTGACCGTAAAAGAACACCCAGAAAGCAAACTATGTGGGTTTCCACGGCAGTGAGACACGCCAATGTTAGTTTTCACGCTTGCCGGAAAGAAGAAGTTTGGCTTCTCTGATGGTAGGCCTTTGAATGTTCTTTCCGAGAGGTAATCAGCAAGCCATGCTCAGGGAAGAAACGCAGCGCCCGCGCATGCCAACTCGTGTCTTCCTCTTGCGGCGGTTGGGAACCCGCAAGATGCAAGGCTTGACTCAGGTGTTTGCGCATTCCGCAGGCGGCCATTTGTCCCGTGCTTTACTCGCATGGGGGCGTGCCAGCTGTGTGGGGTGAGCCCCAGTCAGATCTTCGGCAAAGCGATGTCGACCCGCCGCAACCTGCGTCTTGGGAAAGGCAACGTGAACACGCGGAAGAAGTTCAAGCGGAAGACTGACTCAAACGACGACGATGAGGAAGAAGATGAGGAGGAACTAAGGGTGAATTCATGTCACCTGTTGTACAAGCGTAGGCCACTGCAGGACGACGATTTGTTTAAGCTTGCAAGTTTTCCCTTTTGGATACGGTGTAGCTTGCGATTTGGGCTCAACCCTTGGAGGAAGGCCGGCCCTACTACGTAGACGAGGACCCGCAGGCCCCCCCAGCAGGAAGGTCAAATATATTGACGGGAGTTGGAATGCAATGTTGGTGAGTGTTTACTGCCAACGTGACTACCCAGTAGAATGCCAACATGCTAGACGTGAAATGGCGCCGCAGCACGTTTTCAACTGCAGATTGTTGTGTCCCATCATGATTTCTCGACTGCACCCCGGAACTAAGCAAACAAGCAACTGTTCCTGCTGGGTGTGGCGGATATGGCTTCTTGCAGCTTCTTGTCGGACTCACAGAGCTGCTCGTACCCGGCAGGTGGAGCCAACTCGTGGTGAACTTGAAGAGTCCTGCTTCACAACAGATACGGCCACGCGCAGTCAGATAGACCGACTGCCACGGGAGAACATTCACACGGACACGAAAAATGAGTTCGACGTGAAGCGTGATGAGTGCGTGGAAGCAGTTCGAGAGATCATGGAGGGATGTGACAAGAGTGGCAAAAAGTCGCTCCACTGCAAAAAGTTGTGTCAGTATATATGTTGTCTTCCTGCGAGTGGTATGTGAGAGCCCACACGCAAGACAAAGTCCCTTTGTGTTCATCTAAGCTGAACACCATGTGGAGGTTCTTCGACCCCACTTTCTACTTCGACAAGCAGGAGAACCTGTTCCCGCCTGGAACCCCTGATGATTGCACCGTGGGCCTGCCAGAGAAGTGTGTTAGACTCTCCGAGCTTTTCGGTGAGGATTGTGAGGTCTTCGTTGAGGCTAAAGATGGTGAGGACGATGACCCAGTGGACGCAAGCGATATCGTGCAGGGAAGCATCGGCTCCCTGCATTGTAAAGCAAGATGTTGTTTGACTTTGCAGGGAGCCAGCCCTTTGTGGCTGGCCCTCACAACTTTTGGTTGTCCAGGTTGTTGGCAACCTGCCCAGAAGGCAGAGCCTATCTCAGACGTTTTACCATGACTCAAAACAAGCGTTCAATGCCTTTCAGCCACCACACACGCAACTCCACAGCCCAGGTGATTGCTTCTTGATTGGCGCTATCTCTGGCATTGCGGCTCATGGAGCCAAGGTGTCGCATTTCTGGGACAAGCAAGATAACGGAGAAGCAGATGACAATGAAGAAGTAGAGCATGAAGCGCCGATCGAGCGGCTGCTGGTGGCCTACGATGTGAACGCTGGCGTCTATGGCGTCATGTTTTTCAAGATGGGGCAATGGGAGTGGGTGATCATCGATGACTTGATACCTGTGTCCCCGGAGGATTCCACCACTCCTTTGTTTGCCAACTGCAAAGTAGGGGACATGGAGTTGTGGCCGATGGTCTTGGAAAAGGCGTATGCCAAGCTCCATTGCAACTGGGATGCCATTGACGGTGGTCTCTCCGGCCAGGCGGTGAAAGATATGACAGGCGGCATTATGCAGAATCTCGACCTTTCTGGCAATGACAAGAAGTACAGTTGGAATGCTTTCCTGCGACAAGCGCAAGATTCCCTCACTGTCATGGGCTGTGGCTGTGGCGAGCATGTGGAAGAAGAGGAGGGCGAAGGCCAATGTGGCGAAGCCAGAGGAGTCTACGGCCTAATCAAGGGACATGCCTACACAGTTCTCTCAGCCTACAGCAGTGAAGGTGGCAAAGTCAAGCTCGTGAAGGTCCGGAACCCGTGGGGCAACGAAGCGGAATGGGAAGGGGACTGGTCAGACAAGAGCGAGATGTGGGATAAATATCCCGACATAGCCAAGGCAGTTAGATTTGAGGCCAAGGACGATGGAACCTTTTGGATTTCTTGGAAGGATTTCAAGTACTATCTGGGTTGCGTCGAGATTGTCCGCTTCTTTCCCGGCTCCTGGAGGATCATGACTCACTACGGCAAGGCAAGCGCCAATGAAAGGGACAACACTTTCATTGTGCATGTGGCTCAGGCAGAGGATCCAGCAGCCAAGGCTGTCTTTGTTCTGGGTCAGACTGACTCCAGGTGTGCTCACTGTATTCTCGATGACCCTGCATCCGAAGAGGCACATTCCATCCAGAAGAGCGGGGGAACTTGGGAAGGCACGGTGTCAGAGAGGATCGGCCTTGAAGTGGCCTACCTGGGGAAGAATCAGCCGCCCTCCAAGATTCAGAAGCTCAAGAAGCTGAAGAGCGTCTTGCCCAATGGAAAGGCGAGCAGCGAAGAATGTGATGAAGTGGTATGGGTGGACCAACGCAAGCTGAAG